CCCCAACTGCCTCCCTGCCTGAGTACATTATTTATCTTTACTTTCTCACTGCAAAAACATTCAGTGACTTACGAAGCCATGAGGCCTGTCCAAAGTCCCCATGCTACCTGGGCCTGCCTTCCTTTCTTGCCCCATTTTTATCCCTGGGCATCTCAAATAGCAGCTGCTAGTTCTGTCCGCATGTAGCTGGATTAAGCCATCCACACTTGAGGCTGATACGGGAGTGGGGAAGCAGGGTGGTGGTGGGTGCCAGCCGGGTATACCCAGGGGGGTGTCTGCTGAAATCAGAGGGAAGGCATGTTTTCTTATTCTCACAAAGGCACCCAGGCTGGCTGCACCCCCAGGAAAGAGGTTGCCGAGTGAATTGATCTTGGTGCTTCTTCCTATTTTGATGAACTTTCAGCTCCATTGAAAATACCCTTTTTGATCACTTAGCTCCTTACTGAAGAATGAAATATACGAACTCCATATTGCAGCCTGCCAATTCTCTACCTGCCTAGGCACTGCCTCACCGTCACAGTTAGTGCAAACAAGGCCAGCGAAAACAAAAACTCTATTCTTGAGCCAAGAACCTGGAGAATCTGCTCATACCTGATCAGGAGCTTGAGACACAAGTGCATCGGGGAAGGTTACTCAGGAGGGTGTGCTCCGGCTAACGCTGGCTTTGAGGAAGCCAGAGTCCCTGTGCCCCTCTGCTCAGCAGCCTGCTGTAGCCCTGGGTGGGCTGTTTCTTCACTGTGCAGTGAGGTTATGTAACTGGCAGCTCAACTGTTTCATGTGACCACTCTCCTGGTTTAAGTATCTGAGTTGGAACCCCACATTTCCTCCATTATCTGTTATTGTTTTTTTTTATCTTGCCCCAAGATCTGTCAAACATGTGAAATATTCACTTAACCACCCTCTGCTCACATCACACAGGCCGCTAATGGTGCACAGATTCTCTTTGGATCTTAACAAATTATAACCCTGGGGGCACTCATGTCAACCTCACAATGCCTGGCACCTGGAGGTTTCAGCCAGCAGTTGTTTAGTTGACTTTACTTGCTGGAGAAGATGGGTGGTATTTAAGAGTAGACATCTCCCCGTCTCAGCTTGTACAAGTCTGACCTACCCTGGTCCAGGGCATTGGATCAGTCATGTCCTAACATCATTTTTCCAGCCTGGCTTGCTCTTGCTTTTGTGGGATGAATGGAATGGCTGTGTAGTATAGGATTTGACATGAATATTTTATTTCTGCACTAAAAACAGAGTCCAGGTCTGTTTATTATACCTTTATTTAAGCAATAACCTGATTACATGCTTAATTCTGTGATGGAGCCCAGAAGATTAAATAGCCCCTCTAAACTTCAGTCTCCTTATCTCTTGAAGGAAGTTGGATTACAATAATCTCTAAGGATTTGTGCAGTTGGAACACACATGGTTATTACTCACATCAATAAACCACTTAAAGGAAACTCCCCATTTTGCTGGTGAGTCATTCAGTAGCATTCTTCAAGTCAGTCTCTGGCAAGCCACTTAACTTGTTCAGACCTCAGTTTTTTCAGCTGTAAGGTTAGAATAACAGTGGCTGACACACCCACTTTTACACTGGAAGTTTCTTATGAAAATCAAGTAAGATAACTAGGTGAAAGTATCAACCCTCCAGTGCCATCCAAAGCAAGGGACTATCTTTTTTATTTCCCATTTATATATGAAAGTGTTAAGAAATATTAGCAATTTTAGAAGAACTAAACTGCTACGTGTGGACTTGTGGACATAGGATTCTTTCATTAGCTTGCTTGATAGTCACACAGGGATGGAAGGAACTCCAATGGAAAACTGACCCATTAGTCCTTCACTCATCTCCTTTCCCCCGCAGCCCTGAGGGAGGGCAGCCTTGAGCAGCCACCCACTAAAACTGCCCTTTGGTGCTCTTTGTTCTTGTCTGCCTGGGGCCACTTTAGCCAGATCTCTCGAAGCCTGTCTGCCTCCAGGCCCCCATTTCCGGAATAGGAAACTGGGGATGGTGTTGAAATCATGAAAGATCAAAGGATAGAACACCTCAGGCCAGTTCTCCTTTCTCATTTCTTCTGTCTGGTGAATGTCACAACAACATGAAGGGCAGAACTGGGAAGAGACTAGAGAAGGTGTTACAACATCCAGGCTTAGGAAATCTTTGCAAATGTTTTCCCAAGTCACATTGTATTGTAACCGCTCAAAAACTTCATTTCTTTAATGTGGTTTCATTTCTTTAATGTGACCTTTGCTCCTTTCTTTCCTCTGGATTTAAACTGGCCTTGTCCACTCTAATAGCACCATGACTCATCTGCCTGCCTCTTCCTTGCATGTCCACTCACTTCCTTAATTACTAAGCCCTCAGGATATCAGATTCTGGTCAGCATCAGTCTTAAGTACAAAGCCTCAGGTCTGTTGACTACAGAAACGTAGTTTCAGTCAAGCTAAAAAAGCAATTTTGACTTCAGCTGTGTTTCAGCCTAAGGCCCATCCATGAAAGTGGAATTGTTACAGAAGGCCAAAGAAATACCAAGCACGCTTCCTAGAGAAAGGGAGGGACCCCGTTTATTAACACTAGTGGACTCTGGGAATAATTTCCAAATCAGAGTGAAGTAACATGCAGAGAGCCTGTCTATATATATCCCACTGGGGTCTATGTCTTGCAGATATGGTCCCGCCCCCTTTCGTGGGCTTTCAGGAAGGCCCCCAGGTGTTGGGGGTCCCCAGGACAGATCCGATGATCTGTCCTGGGGCCAGCGATAATGACCTCCCCCCCACCCCAGGGCAGTGCATTGTTCACAGTTTTTATGGCCTGACACGCCTTGCAAGACTAGTTTCCTCCTCAGAATGACTCTACGAAACCAGACAGTACATGCCATGGCTGACACAGGACGTAATATATTGATCAAATACTCCCTACCCTGGCCCAACCAATCAATAGATCCCACAACCCCACCTCCCTTAGTCACCATGATTAATAATTTCCCCCTAAATAACCCCCTGAAAGCCACTGGAAGCCCTGTTTTAGAGCACTAGCACACCTGTGTATCCAGGCTTGCCACCATTTCCTTTAAAAACCCTTCACTTTCTTTGTTGTAAACTCCTGTTCACATTTTATTGGGCTTTGATGAATAGGCAAAAGAACCTTTTGTGTTTGGTAACAACGTTTGAACTGGGAGTGTTATCTGACTCCAGGATGGACAACAATTGCCTAGGATTCTGCAGGACAACCAGCTCTGTCTTCTATGTCAGGGCTACTCAGTGGGGTTCCCAGCCCAGCAGCAGCAGCAGCCCCCAGAGCTGTGGAGACGCAGCAGGGAGGCCAAGCCCCAGCCCACTGAACCAGGAATCTGGGTTTTAACAAGGTCTAGAGAGATTTTTGTGCCCAATAAATTTTAAGAACCAACATTCTAAGTTATTCCAGGACACTTTGGTGCTAGCTAGGGAAATGGGTTGTGGTTCAGTAACAGGTATTATGAAATAGCTGCTCGGGTTCCCCGATTCTTCTGGGTCTCGGGACCCTCACAGGGACTTCCCTTCTCTCTCACCTGGAAGACTTGCTTGTCTTCCCACCGTTCCAGAGAGATAGCAGGGCAGCACCGGATGTCCTAAAGACCAAGGAGGAGGAGGCAGACATCTCCTTTGCCTACCCAGTGCCCACCTCCAACTACCACTCAAAAACCTGGTCTCCAGAGAGCAAATCCATTCCCTTCTCACACCCCCTCTTTCTGAGCTTCAAATCTCTTCCTGTGAGGAAAGTCCAGGACACCCCAAGCTGGACGTCCCTTAACAGAGAAGTACCTGACCTAACTCAGCTGTTTGTATGCCCACAGCCTGCTCTGTTCCTTACTTTTGGCCCTCCCCTTCCTTCTGGGTTTCTGAGGAAAGATCCTAGTGGGGCCTGGCAGAGGGAAGAAGTGTGTGGGACAACTCGATGTGCTGCACAAGGCCGGGGTGGGGTGGAGTGTACAGTCTGCAAGGACAGAGGGAGCCCAGTTACAGCAATAAGTGGTGGTGAGCTGAGACGTCGAGGCCTCAGAGGAAAAGAATGGCAAGAGAAAGCTGGCCCAGGGCTCTGTAAAAATACTTTTAAATAAATATTTGTTAAGGCTTAAAGATATGCTTGTGCATTAATGATTATAACTTCTAAGTAAATAACATTTTTTACACAAACTTCATGTAGAGTCCTTTATTGGATTGCAGTCCTTGCATAACCATGTTTGGGTAGGGAGAGCCACTGGCCGAACCTCCAGCAATGTTCCCCTCCCGCAGTGCAGGACACACTTGCAGAGATTGGCTCCAACAGTGACAATGGACCTTCAGACTTTTGTGTACACATTTCAACAACTGCTTTCTTCAGGGACATTATGTTCCCGCTCCTCTAAGTGCGTGTTGCCAGGGGGAACTGTGAGCTTCTCTCTAGTCCACCTGGCCCAGCCCTGGGCTGGGAGGGAAACTTCATCCAGTCATCTTTGTTTGATGCCCCACCTCAGACCCTGATCCTTGGAACGAGTTCTTTTCTGGAACAGAGAGCAAGCCTCCTTAGTCATGGTGATCAGAGTTGTAATAATGCATTTCCTGCTTTGTGAAGAAAGCCAGTGTGATGAAATAAGGCAGACCCTGGGAAGGAAACCAGTGAGAGAAGCCTGGGCTTATCTGAGGTCTTAGTGAAGACTTCTAGGCCAGCCACCCCACTACCATTTCTGTGGGAGTGCCAAGCTTTCAGTAACCCTACCCTTTCTTTCCACTTAATCCAGTTTATGTCAAGTTTCTATAACTTGCAACCAAGAGTTATAACTAACAAATAGTGAGGGCTAGGTTGGGGATAGGGTCCGTGGAGGCCATTATTCAGCTGTGACATAGGAGCTGCCGGAGTGTAGAGAATAAAGGCAGGTGGAGAGGGGAGATCAAAACCTCATACCATTGTTTATTGATAATTTGGGATTTCCTCTTGGAAAAGCTTCAAATTTATTTTGAAATGCAGACATGTAACTGCACAGGAACTTGATGTTAGATTCTGATCAGCATCAAGCAGTCTTAAGAACAATGCCAGGGCTAACCTCAGGGCCTGATACAATGACTAACTACCCTCTACCCTGGCCCCAGTCATTCAGTAGAGGCCAGGACCCCAGCTCCCTTAGTCACCATGGTTAATGATTTCTCCCCTATATAACCCAGCTCCTTCCTGGAAGCCATTCAGAGCCAGTTTTCAGAGCATCAGCTCACCTGTGTCTCCAGGTTTGGTGCCAGTTCCTTAAATAAGTCTTTAGTTCCTTTGCTGGAAACTCCTGTCCGTGTCTTATTGGACTTTTATGTGTGCAGGCAAATGGATCCCTATAGGCCAATAACAGGAAAAAAAGAGGATCTTTATCTCTAAGAACTGCAAAAGTCAGCTGGGAACAACATTAAACTCTATAATTTTTTTGAGATTTCAATCAAAAGTGGCCAGTAGTGGCTGCTCTTCCTCTCTTAACACCAGTCCCTCTTCCCCCCAGGCCTGTCCATCTGTTCCTCTCCTTGCCCTGATACCTCAATGGCTCACTGAGGGGTGCAGAGAGATGGCAACGAGAGCATGGGTTTGGAGTCAAGACTGGTTTGAGTGCTGGTTCATCATCTCTATACTCTGAATATCAGCCTCTTCACTGCTAAAACTGAGCTAATGACATTTACTTGTAGCTCCAGGGAGGAGTCAAAATCATTACTATAAAAATGCTTAGCACACAGAAGATGTTCCATTATAAATCTTGAAAGACCCCTGTGAAATACCCATTTCTAAAGACTTTTCTTTCTAATCCTGGGTATTTCCAGAAGTGGCCAATGTTTCAATGTGCTGGGACCAGTCCAGCTGTGACTTCTCCTTTAACCTTTGAAGCCAGGTGTGCGAAACTTTTCTTCTGTGATTTACTTCTGGCTGTTCTTCCCCTAGTGTTGCTAAAACATAAAGAAGTAAATCTTAGTGCGGGGTGACTGTTTCTGTTCTAGCACAAAGATTAGGTCACTTACAGATAACCAATGTTGTCTCAGATAGTATCATAGGACTGAGTCACTGAATCCAGCTCCTACAGTAATCAGGTCTCACTCACTGCCCATGTGACAGAACTTGACCAGAATGGGAAAGGAAAAGATCAAAATCACAGTTATTTTGATAGAGATATGTTTAATCATAAGGTTTTCCATTAATATACCTAGTAAGCACCATTCCCTAATTTAATAATCTTGATAATACTGTCTGCAAACAAACAAAAATAATAACACCCTAAAAAATAACAGTAGCTTACGGTTATGGACAGTTTTACTTGGGAAATGGCTTCATCCATTAACTATGTGATTTACAGACAAGTTAACACCTCTGCTGACACTGTGCACTTAATCAAATTCCCATGACATAATGTAGTTCCCTCAGACTTTCTATGGAGATTCTGGGTTCACTGGAGAAAGATCAAGAGGTTTCCTTTGAATTGAGTGTAGAAATTGAAGTGGGAGGTCAGCATGTCATTTTAGAATCTCTACCTCCCAGTACAGCACCTCAATTTAGATCAATTTGGTCACTGGGCCTGTTTACTAAATGGTATCCATCCATCCATCCATCCATCCATCCATCCATCCATCCATCCATTTATTCTTTTGTTTTCCTCCCTCACTTATTTAACAAAGATTCAATGTATGTGTCAAGAATATAAAAATCAGTAAGAGAACTTCTAAGTTAAGTTGTCAGAATGAGTACACACATAATTAAAATACTTTCACATGTAATTGTAAAAGAGTTGCTGAAATCATACATTTAGTCATAACAGTTAGGATTGGTTCAATGCCATCTCCTAAGCAAAGTCCCTTAATTAGAATTTATCTTCATTTTCTTTATATTCCAAAAGGGCTGGTACAGAATCCTTCGTATTACAGTACTTTTCTGAACTATGTCCAGCACAGCCAGGAGTGAACCTGAGGAGGGGCGGTGAAAGATTAAAGAAAACAGACAAGAGAATACAGTTGGGGCCAGGTGGATCACTGTGCCTGGATGAGGAAACAGTGACACAGCCTGTAAGCTGAGTTTTTACTAGTATTTTATAGTCAGATCACACAAAGCAAAACAAGGGCAAGATGTTTACAATGTTCTTGTGAGTTTCAAATCTGCTTCTTTCCTGTTGTTGCCATTCTCTGAACTCTATCAAGCTTGTT